TCATAACTGATTAACAAAATGAGGACTCTGCTCAGTTTTATTCAGTAGGCACAGAAATATAAAACAGTTCCTGCCCTGGAGTTTATACTTTTATAGGAAAACAGGGTAAAGCAAAGAAATGTTAAATGAAAATATAAGTGCCAAATAGAGTGTAAATTCAAAGTAGGGAGAGAGAGCTTCAGGCTCCAGTAAGTGGTTAAGACATTAGGGGGAGGTGAGACTCCATCTGGAGCTTCAAAGAGATCAGCATTTGGATAGGTGGAGTGGAGAAGGCAGGTTCTTCCAGGAGAGAGGAAAGGAAGGTGCTGAGGTCAGAGCCCAGAATAAGCACTACGTATCTTTGTGCAGTGAGGAGGGAGAAGGCTGGCATCAGTGGATAAATGGGAGACAAAACTGGAAAGGTCAGGGTTGAAAAGTCTTGATTACTTACTTTGGCCCCTGCCTCATTGAAGGTAAGGAAATATGTAACTCAGTCATAGTAGGGTAATTTGAGTAAATTTAATAAAGAAGTGATTTACTAAGTACGAGAAAAAGTGTAAGAGCCACCACAAGGAACAGTGTAGTACTCCAGGTCTAGTAACAGTAGGGTGTAAAACTGCCTCTTGGCTAGGAGGAGTGAGAGAATACTAGGAGCCAGGGAGAGGGAGATTCTGTAGAAAAATCTGCCTGACAAGGAGCCAAGCTAACACTGAAGAGGGAAAACAGGTCTCAAAGCCTTTGCAGGTGTATGAATGCATTGATATGTGTGATAACTTCGTTGACCTCATTCTCCTCTCTCCCTCTAATCTCTCCATTGGCTGGTCCCAACCAAAAGCCAGAGTGCAAGGATAGTTAATGATGTGGCTTTTACCAATTGACCTTCTGCACAGTGGTGGGTGGGTGGGTGGAGAAGGAAGAAGAGTGGATATTCAGAAAGGCAAGGGGGAAAACATGGGAATCTTTTGAAAGCCATTGAACAAGGCTCAATGTAATGAAATGAACGTTTTCAGATTTATCAATCTAGTAGTAGTTTCTAAGTTAAAGAGAAGCAGTTAGGGGCAGGGAGGTCAGACTTGATGACATTTTTTGCAGGGTAAATAAATAATATTCTAACTAGATTGGTGGCAAAGGTAATAGAAACAAAGGAACAGATATGAATGGCATTATAAAGAATTGTCAGAAATTTATTTGGTTAAACTGTGTCTCTGTAGTATCAGCTTCAGCTTTAGATTTCTAAGTGTTATCAAATGTATATAATTTGTGAATTTAGAGCTTGGCAATAACCACTTTTTAAATCATTTTATCTTGTGTACTTTTTTCCCCCGTGTACTTTGATTTTCTTATTTAATATTCAGTTCTTGTTGAGGATATGCTTCAGTGCTTCAGTAATTTAGTTTGAGAAATACCAACACTTTACAGAATACCAAATTAGAATTCAAAATTCAGGTTACTCTTTGATTGTACTAAATATTTTCCTGATGTAACTAAGAGTTTACCATGAACTCTAAAAAATCAAACTATTTTAATTGCTCTAAATTTTCTAAATGAAAATACACATCTGCAAACACAGTGATGAGTTCCTTTTATCTGCAAACCATGCAAACATCTATCTCAAACTATAAGGTCTATCTAGTTCCCTTTTAGACACGCATTTATCTGCAGCACCATATATGCATAATTTCTCTGTCAGAATAACCTACACAGTTCTCAGTGGCTGACATAAAAATCATAAAGGTACAATAGCTTAGTCCCACTCCATTACATGATCTTTCAAAAGTAGAGAGCACGCAGCACTCTATTTTGGGTACTTACCTCTCAGGAAAGCTTCTCTGTTTTATTTTCTGCAAAAAGATAAAAAGTAATTTTACCAGAAGATAATGCCAACTGAAGAGCTAAGTCTATTTTCATTCCCTTCTCCCTTCAACTACACTTCAACCTGCTGTACAATATTACTTTGCAAGAATAAAATTCCTGTTGGCCTTATCAGATATCCTCAAGTATTTCTTCAACTAACTCTGTGCTATGGGAACCAATGCAAAAGGGTTAGGGGCTGAGGCCTGGGGGCTATTTGGACAGGGATCCAGGTAAAAGTGTTTAAGCTCACCTGCTCAAGAAGATTTAGGTGCTCCTGGGAGTTGCTGAAGTTTTTCCCAATGTCAAAGAGGCAGAAGGTCTCTTGCTGACAGATGCTGATCCAGTTCTGATATTCCTCTGTATCAGGGATGCGATCCAAAAAGATCCGATAGGCTTCCCACACTGCTTCCTGACATACTGCAACACAGAGCCATATGGGATGGAAAACATCCTAAGAAGATTCCCTTCCCCAACCCAAGCACAAATTCATAACATAAAGTTCTTTTGTGGCTTATGTTGATATGTTAATTTAAAATTCCTAGAAATTGATCCATAGAACAAATATTTATTAAGTGCTTACTATATGCTCTGGAGAAAAGAAAAGAAGTGTGTGTGTCAAAGACTACAACTTAAAGTAGGATGGTTAAGGATGGGCCAGTCAGTGGCATGGTGGGTAAAGTGGCTGGATCCCACACGGCCAACTACGTGGTTCAAGTCTCAGACCCAGAGGCTTAAAAAACACATTGGGCTTATTTGTAGGCATATCCAAAATCCCCAAATGAGAAATGGAGAAGAAGGAATTGTGACATGGCCATCTCCATAAGGGGTACTTTTTTTTCTCTCCACTGAGCACATGAACTCTTCAACAAATTTTTCAAAAAGGATGGTTGAGATCAGCAGATGATGTGATGGTTACATTGCTGGGCTCCCACATTGTTGACTGCAGTGTGACTTCTGGTCCCAGTGGCTTGAAACTCACACTGGGCACATGTGCATGTATGCCCAAAATCCCGAGACAAGAATGGAGGAGAAGGGATTGAGGTGTGGCCATTCCCCATGGGGGAATGATTTCTTGCTTTCTGTCTCTCTGTCTTTGGTGAGTGCAAACAAAAAATCTCTCAAAAAAGAAAAAAAGAGTAGTTGAGGAAGATATTACTATATGGGTGACTTTTGAGAAGTTTGGGAAAAACAGATGCTCCCAGGCTGGAGAGTGCTAGAGTACTGAAGGAACAGAGGAGGGCAGTGTGTGTCCACAGCACGTTTGAGAGTATGAGTGGATAAAGACAGAAAGCTGTGGTGAGGGGAATACAGATTGTATAGAACCTTATAGACACGTGATCTCCAAACTAGGGTACAGAAAACCTGGCTATACTTGAAGCCTTCCCAAGCAATGAGCAGCCACACAGATGTTTAAAATGAATTGATTTCCAGCAGACCTCCTTCTTTTCACTTCCCCTTTGGTCACAATCCTTCTCCATCTATCTATCCTTAGCCTTATTGTGACACAGTGACCTGCTACACAAAGGGACAACTTGAAGTTACAGTACTGGAGTTGAGAAAAGGAGTGATCAGGGATGACACAAATTTTGGCAACTCAAGTGATTCATGATTCTTTGCTTTCAATAAATTAGAATGAACTGACAGCTGATAGATCATTAAAAAATAATGATGACAGATCATGATATGATTGTGGACATGTGATGCCAAAGAAATTTAAAAAATGAGGGCATTACTTTATCAAGATGCCATCTGTTCCCATGTTTTTATTTAGGTAAACAAGTTTTTTCAGCTCAAAAGTAAAACTAAGTAAAAGAATGAGGGTAAAGTTGATTCTAAACTTTATCTCATTTTAGCAATGCACAAACTAATAATGGCTAATCTTACGTGAGACAGTAGAGGAACAAAACCAAAAGCACCCCCATGGATCCAGAGGCAGAAACTAAGAAAGTTGATGCTATGGACCCTTCATATACTAGGTAATTCTGAAGCCCTGCTTCTATGCATTTCCAAGGTGAGGGGGAAGTGGAATGGAATCATGGGTAAATGGAAAAGAACCATGAGATATTTCCTTTAATTTAGAAGTTTGTCCATTATTTGTTACAACAATTTGATGGTCAGTATTGAGTGATTATGGTAGATTCCACTGGATGATATATAAGGATATCTAATTCTTATTTTATTATGTCAATATTTACAACTCATTGAAAGTTACATCCTACACAATTATTAAATTTATGCTCAAAAACTTGAAATGTTAACCGAAAAACAATGAGGTACAAAGCTCAAAAGTTATTACAGAGGTTTAAATGAACAAAAAGTATTTGAAAACTTTTGTTGTGAGCGATTAATAATGTTGACTTTTACCTCTAGAGGGATGAGAAACAATTGGAGCCTTTGGTGCAGAGGCTGACATCTGACTTTCTAGAGAAACGTTTCCATTGCCCTACTGAGAAAAAGGATTGTGGAGAGGAACAAGGCGAGAAATCGGAAACTCTTACTCCTGTGTTTTATCCCTCTCCTGCCCACTTATTCTTTGTCCGGATTTCTTTAAGCTTTGTTATGAAGCAAAGAGAATTCCTACATGCTTAAGTCACTTACCAGCAGTGACCTGATCAGAACCTTGATTTCTTAATTAGCAACCCACAAAGGCAGGAGAGGGTGCAGTCCCCAACACCTTAAATGTGCCATTGATTAGTCATTGAAAAGTCATGATGTATTTTTTCCATTTTTCTATGCAAAAATAAGTCATGACTTTTCCAACAACCGAATGATTTTCCACCTTTGAGGAAATAATGGGTTAACCTGTGTGAGAACCAAATGAAAGAACTGCGTCCTGGAGAACTCACTTCCGTGAGCACGCACTCTCTGTCAGGCAGGGGTCAGGGAGTGTTAATGCCTTTCTTTTTACCAAACATCATGCATTCTCTAGACCTTCGTCCTCGCCAAGAGTTTACATACCATGCAAGAAGGAGATAGCACTTAGATGTTTTCGGATTTGTCCACCCCAAGAGCGTGTTCACCTAAGCAAACCAGCTGCCCTGACTATTCTTGCCTACATACTCCATCACTCTTTGGAGATGTTCTTTTGCCCTTCTTTCTTTTCTTAATGGACCTATTAGTTTAGTTCAAGACTCTTTTAAGTGCCGGAGACACAACAATAAATAGAATAAACTAGTGATGCCTTTGAGGGCTTGGCACCAGTAACTTTTATGGACGATATTTATGTGGAACATCTGGGAAGACAGAATGTGATCATTTCTCCCATTTACCAGTTAGGTAAACCTTAGGCATATTGCTTTTGGTCTCATTTTTTTTTTTTTTGAGAGGTTTTTGCTATAAGGCGCGTGCGCTCGCCAGACAGACAGAGAGAGACAGAGAGGTAGAAAGCGAGAAATCACCCCCCAGAGGGGATGGCCACGCCGCAATCCCTTCTCCTCCATTCTCCTCTCGGGATCTTGGGCACACACGCACACGCGCCCGGCGTGAGTTTAAGCCACTGGGTCCGGGACTCGAGCTGCGGTCGGCTACGTGGAAGTCCAGCGACATAGCCATTATGCTAACTGCTGGTCCCCTTTTGGTCTCATATTAAGTCTTCCTTCTATTTCAGTCCAATTTAAGGTTTGAACTAACTTTGTTCCCAGTTGAGCCCAAACTCAAATTTGCAGCATCATGGGATATCCATAGATGCACATAGAAGATCATTTTCCTGAGTGCCTTGTATCCTGAGGATGCATAAAAAGCTATGCAGAGATGCTGTAGGCAGCATTCTGTCAGGCAGTGGGGAGACAGGGTGAATGGTCACATGGAAGGTGTTTGTTTTTGGTGCCTGCATCTCCCTAGTGCTACTTCTTTCTCTATGCACTGTCTCCCATGCAGGACACAGAAGACCAGTCCCAATCAAAACCTACTTTAAAAAAAAAATTACTAATTTAATTTTATTTATTAATTTTTATTATTTTAATTTGATGAGAGAGAGAGAGAGAGAGAGAGAGAGAGAGAGAGAGAAAGGGAGAGAGAGAGAGAGAGAGAAAGCTGCTAGGTCCGGGACTCTAACTGTGGTTGGCCATGTGGGAGTCTAGTGCCTTAACTACCATACCACCCGCTGGCCCCAAAACCTACTTTTAATAAATGTTAAATGCCCTGAGGGAACTTTTCCCCTAAAGCACAATGTATGAAGCCGCTTGAAGAATTACCTCCCTGGGGGAACCAGCAGTTAGCATAATGGCTATGTCGCTGGACTCCCACGTGGTCGACCGCGGTTCGCGTCTCAGACCGGTGGCTTAAAGCTCACGCCGGGTGCGTGTGCGTGCGTGCCCAAGATCCCAAGAGGAGAATGGAGGAGAAGGGATTGCGGCGTGACCATCCCCCCTGGGGGGTGATTTCTCGCTTTCTGTCTCTATGTCTCTGTCTGTCTGGCGAGCGCACGCACCCTATAGCGAAAACCTCTCCAAAAAAAAAAAAAAAAAATAGAATTACCTCCCTGGGATGCTGTAGTTTATAGAGAACATTATATTACATATACAACCAAGGCCAATAGATTTTCTTCAGGGCAGGTTTTTTGTTTTTGGACTCTTCTGATGTCATTTTCCAGTGTCCTGGAAACTTCCCACAAAGCAGGAGGCAGAATCCTTCTGTGAATGGGATCACCAGTCACACACCTCGTCCTTACTGAGGAGGATTTTAAAAACCCTTGAAAGTTGAGGCATCACAGGATTTCACGGCCAGGAGGGATCTGAAAACATCTGAAAGTTGGAGTTTTCTAACCCTTTGATTTAACCTGTTCTGTACCATCCTCCTCTGAACCTTCTAAGAAGGGTTGCCCCAGGAGTTCTAGAGAAATCAAGTTTTTTGTCACCCCCCCCCCGGGACCTTGCCACAATTATCGACCAATGCCTGAAATCTGACCAAGAGCCTCAGCTTCTCTGCTGAAGGTCATACCCTCCACTGTTTGAGGAGGTAGGAAGAACTCCAGGGAGCACATTCCCTGGTAGTCAGGCACTACTGTGTATAAGTTCAAGTCCAGGCCTTGAGATGGGTGGTCATATCTGGGAAGTACTATGTAAGATCAATAGTGTGGAAAAATGCCAAGCACAGGTTTGGGCACACATGAGATGAAGAGAGAACACACGAGGATAGGGAACATGATACTGGCTTCTAGCCCTGCTGTGTCATTAACTGTGTCCTGAACATGTCACCTGAGTTCCTCCAATTTCAGTCTTGTCTGTATGATGGGAGCATTTGATAGATGTTTTCCAGATCAGTACTTCCAGGATGTTAAGGTACAAACAAATTACAGGGGTATCTTGTTAAAATGCAGTTTCTAATACCAGGTCTGAAGTGGGATCTGAGATTCTGGATTTCTAACAAGTTCCCAGGTGATGAACTGTGGTCTGTGAACAGTACTTAGGGTAGTAAGA